GTTGTGGGATAAAATTGAGGCAGAGGCAGCCAGAAGGGGACAGAGGGGGGGTAGCCTCCTCTTCACCCTGGTGACATACCCCTACTCCAAGGTCCTGCATGTGTGGGTGATTGTGGTGGAGCGGGAAGGGGGGAGGCAGCTGGAGATGGGGAGGGAAGGAAGGGAGGGGCAAGTGACCCCTCCCTGGGGCCAGCTCCCCCGCTGACCCCAGTAGGCACCCCCTAACCCTAACCCGACCCGCCAGGGAAAGGGGGCCCAGGCGTTCCCTAAACTTCAACCACATGACGCGATATGGGGAAGCAACGTACCCAAGGAATTCAAATTATGGACTACCGGACAGAAAGTACTCCATTCATTGTTCCCCTGGGTGGGAACTAGGGTTGCCAACCGTCCCTTAAAAAACGGAATCGTCCCGTATTTAGAAACAAAAGTACACGTCCCGTATTGAGCTAATAAGGGACGCACTTTGTCCCGTAATACAGTGAGAATCAAAAGTAGTCTATAAATGTTAATGGAATTAACGCTTTGTTTGAAAACATAATTTCCAGCCCCTCTCCTGCTTTGTGACCAATGAGCTGACAGCACACTTATGACAATTCGAGTATGACAATTCAGATTACCGCTCATCTCATTGGTCGAGGAAAGGTCGCTTGCGGAGAAAATACCAGAAGACAACAGATGACCACAACAAGAAGCATGGCCAACAGGGAAACAAACGCCGACACTGCGGTGCAAGTCTTGGACGACAGTACACCTAAAGCTGGGCAGACACTGTGCGATTTTTTCAGTCACGTTATTCAGCTCCTGCTCAAACTGCACGATTGACTCACAGGGGTTAGAAGTTCATAGGTCACGATGCAGGTCTCACACTATATGGCCCGATGCTCTGATGCGACCTGAGTGCTCACACTGTGCCTCCATAACATGAAGGTTATAACAGAAACTCTGTCGCTCTCTCCCTCTCTGTCTTTCACTCACACAGACACACCACCACCATCAACGTTGCTAAATTGCTAATGAAAAACATTGATCAGGCAGCTGTGATTGAGCAGCAATGTAAATCCAACTATTTTCACGGTTGTTGTGGTCGTGATCATTTTGTGAGGCCACATCGAAAAGGCTCGGATGAGCTTTCCAAAGTTCTACAAGTTGTGCCTCCATCGCTTGTGTCCAGATCACACGCTGCACTGCCGTGCTGCTCCGTCTTTTTCACCGACGTTTACGTGTTTGCGCGTGAGCAGTGTGAGCGGCTGCGGTGATACAGCCGCTTCTCGTTACCCCACGTATACTACACGATGCACGATGAAGGCCAAAATCGGGCTGATCACCAAATCGGTCGCACGACTCAAAAACCGTCTCAAAATGGGCCAAAAACCGCACAGTGTGAGCCCAGCATTAGAGCAGCAATGTTTGTTCGCTACAAAAGGGAGGAATGGGAAAAGGAAAACACCTGGCTGTGCACGATAACGCCTTTAAAGCGCACTGCACTGTGCCGGCGCACTTTTTCCATAGGCATGCTTCTAGTGGTGGGCACATGAAGAACATGAGGGGCGTGAAAGCTCGGGGAACCCTTAACCAATTTCTTGTCCACCAGGCCACGGCAGAAGCAGATATGGGATGTAAACACTGGTTTGTTTTTTTAAACCCTCTGGTTAAGGTTACCGTAATATGGGCATGTGCAGTGAATATCAGCGCTATGTGGCCAGAAGTGTGATAATATAATTTATTTTGTGCAATAAACAACTGCAAGGATAGATGATTACAACAAATAGATGACTAATACACACAAAAAAAGAGCTAGAAAATTCACCACACTGGGAAGGGTGAAGACAACTGGGTCGCCCAGCCCTGGCCACGAGGTGTCCCTTATTTATTTTTCAGGGAGTTGGCAACCCTAGTGGGAACTGGAAAAAACATGCTGAGGATTCAAACTCTGGACTATTGTTTTGGACTCTTTTTGAAGGCTTCGTGCAAGATCAACGAACAGCAGAATCATAAAATCGATGCATTACGGATTGCAGTGATGCAACACCGAGTAGCTCTGGTGAGGTCGTACCTTCTCTTTGTTTTATGGTAGTGTAACCCCACCAGTGCAGGGGCCTTCTTACACCCCGGACTCTGCGTTGTGTAAGTTTGTGTTGGATTGGGGTACACAGTAGAGAGACCAGTCGGACATAGGCGTTCAATTTGTGGCTCGGACCGTGCCGTTTATTCAGATGTTGGGGCAAACACCACTCCCACTCTGCTGCTGGCCCTTTGCAAATCACAGTAAACACTAAACCAAGATGGCGCCCGCGCGAATGAGAAATCTGAACTACGGTGTCCTTACAGTAGGACAAATAGTCAAAATTGCTTAGATCTACCATACATATGTAGCTCAACAGCGACACCTTGTGACTTATTCCAGTCACTGCCTTACAGTAGGATAAATGTACAGTCAGTTTTAGTCTAAGTGCCTTTTGTTTAGGTGAATTGCTGGACTTCCAGACCAGCAGGTTTAGGGAAGTCTTTATGGGGTCATGCTCTGACCCCCACACACGCGTATAAACATCCACATTCCAATGTAAGGAACAAACGCACCTACTGATGTATAAATAAAGACTAGGGCAGTGGCAGAGTGTGAGTCCCTGAGCTCTCACTCCTGTGCGAGCGCTCTGTGGCTGCCCTTGCTGCAAGTAAAAACTGTGTGTTTCTCCTCTCTGATTCTCAGGTGAAGAAGTGTCTTAGAATACATCTCTTGACACTCAGAAACGCACTTCGAATCTCATTACGAATGACCCCGACGATGGCCTCCTCTCGCTGCCTTTTATTGAAAACATTCACACAATAAACAATAGTTTACATGCACCTCCCCTCGTAACCCCCCTTGGTTACAAAGACAAGGCACTGTATGTATATGTGTGTGTGTGTGTGTGTGTGTGTGTGTAGGTAAGGATGTGTGTGTTATGTGAGAATGTATGTGTGTTCTCCTGCTGACCAAAAGGGTCATAAAAGCAGGAAGCATCATCCAAGGCATAGAGAGGGTAGTCTCCCCCACACCCAATTTATGGTTCACCCTAGATAACACAGTGAAGCCACAAAAAGGGCAGGAAGCTTACCAAACATCAGATAAACAGTCACAAGGATGTGCTTGTGATAACACTACAGCCCCCACCCAGAACCTCAAGAATCTGGGGAAGGGGACAAAAGAATTCCTTTCATCACAGAGTTAAAACAATGTAGAGATGGTAAGCATAAAAATGACAACATTTAATAATTTACTCTAACACTTATAGGTTCAGAAGTTGGGTTAGTTTGACCAAAAATTGGTTCAAAAGTTGTGACCCAGGAGTTGGGTTGGCGATGTGCTGGGTTCTTTAATTAACTCCCAGGCTTGAATAATTTTGTCTGTTTATAGGTTGGGTGACTTTGATCAAATATTGGGTCAGAATTTTACCCAATTGTTTGGATTGAAGACAAACCTCAGAGAGAGCCAAATCATTCCTTACAAACCACCTTTTTCAACTAGACTGTGACCTGATCAGATATCACTGGACTTCTCCTCTACTGTGAAGTAAAACACAGTAAGTACTAAATGCTAAAGTACAGCAACTGCAAATTTCATTGTATGGCCCCTACATTCTTGTATGCATGCCTGACTACGTTGGGGCATGCTCCTACTCAGATGACAGATGGTGTCATGGGGCCTCTACTTCCAGTGAGGCCAGCGCTTCACTGAGCACAAAGTTGTATCCAAGTTTCAACCTGTGCTGTGCAGGCATCACTGGTATGTAGGTGCGTAGCAGTACATTACAGTAGGCCTACTGTTAATTTATACATAAATACCCATTAAGATGTAATAAAAAAGCAGTATAAAAGCACAAATTCTCTTTCATTAACCTTTCTTATCTACATAACTTTCTTTTATGTAGAGATGCAGCACTGTCACTGGAGTTTGAATCAGGCAGCAGGAGCATGGCAGCAATATATGTTTGTATAACTGATCCCAGCACATTAATGACAGCACACCATGAGATCTGCAGTAAATCTTTTAAATCCAGAATAATTCACAGCTGAAAGAGAAAAGTCCAAAATAAAGAGAAATTTCACAAACTACATGTTGAATCAATACAATGTCATATTTATAATTACAGAAATTAAATTCTTTATTTATACACCCATGTCTGTACACTCTTTGTATAGCCCCTGCTGCAGTCCACGTTCTCCTGTCAGTCTGATCGGCTCTTAAGAGGGGAATTCATAGAAAAGCGAGTGTTGATCTCTCCTGATACAAACACAATGGCTTTCAACAACAGCAGACAACTTGTTTTCTTCAAAATGATTTTTTTTTCTGTTTTTGACAATGAAAAACTGACAACTGGTGAGACAACTGCTGAATATAACATTTTCAATATCCTTCATTAGTGAATCTTGCTTTTACATTTATTTAATTGTCTGATAAATATTGACCACATAAAATATTTAGTTACAAACCGGTGTTAGTGACAATTGATGTAGAAAGAATACTTTGTTTTTAACTGCAAAACAACTGTGCTGTACGTGTGCTGATAAATAAAAAAAATCTCATTATCACAAAAAATGGTGTAACTTAATGTTCATTTCAATAATTCAGATTACCATGAACAATCTGGGTTACTAAAATGTCTATAAAGCTCCTCCAAATAATTGGTGTAACAGCTCAAAAATCATTATTGCTTATTAACCATTATGGCACATTTTACAACATCAAGTCTCAGTAATTATCCACTGTATGCGTTTTCACTGGTTTCACATGTTCACAAACAGGACATTAATAGACTTCCATAACACTTGGGTCAAATTTTTGTTTCTTTTCATTGTGACTAAGTTCTCAATCAAGCCCAACTTGTGAAATCTCAGGCATAAGCTAATTAAACACAGCTCCTTCTCTAATAATAAAATTCATAATTTCCCAAGTATTATGTACACTCCTGGGGATATAAGAGAAATAATGAGAAGGTGTATTTGAAATCTTTTGGGTAAAATATTCACTCTGTATGATCTGAAAGGAATTTTGAAACAGAAACTACAAACACTGTTGCTGTGACCAGTGAGCTGAGTGTCACAAAATTGTTAACCTACAGTTCAATCCATGTTTCTACAATCATCTATGGCAATGAGCAGAAAGAAGATGATCACTGATATGGGTGTTAGCAGTGTGTTTGCACTAAAGGCCATCCTGGCTCTGCCAGGCACAGAGTTAGGAGCCCAGTTATTTGTCTCACACCTCAATCTTCACCGGGACAGTGGCGCAAAGGATAGAGCTGCAACTTTGCACTGAAAGGAGCTGTTTTGAGTTTGCTGTTTGAGGATGGCCTGCAGAAATGAAGGTTTGCAGAAAGTGTAACCCTAGAGGAGCTGGAGGAGCTTCTCTACTGGTCTCTCTGATGGCAACAAATGGTAGAACGAGGATGTATAGAGGAAAAACTGAATATTACCAGCACATGTACAGCAAATAATGTGTAGTGCAGTGGAATGAAGAGCAAATCACAGCAAAACAACTCAATTTGCATTCATCACCTTAAAGTCAACACACACTCAATGGAAAACCCTTAAAAGATTTTAATAATGTTGACTCAAAAAAGTAACAATGATCTCATGAAAAAGAGGCACTGCTAGTGAAGATCTGAAGACACCAGTTTTGTTTTTGCTCCCTCGTTAGCACCTGTACCTACTGCACCAAGCATCATTTTCTTGTCTCTACAAGTCTGAGAATGTGTTATATTCTAGTTGCAGAAAAATGTCGTATGAAGGAGTAAACAGCCGAACTCAGATGGGGTTTTTTCTCTGTTAAACATCTTTATCACTAATTTCACACCTAATTAGAGCACACAGTAAAGAAGCATTGCATGTCTGACATTAGACAAGGAATTACTAAGGCTTTACTGAACATATGGACAGAGCTGTGCACGATAGCACCAATAGATGTTTGCTTAAAGTACACACTTGTGTACCTCTAAACATTCTCTGCATAGACAATGCTCAGTACATTTAAGGAGTTCTTTATTCTGCCTTTGTCACAAAGAACTATTCAATGTAGCATCAACACTTTGCTGTTTTTCAACTATGAAAAAAAGTACAAAAGGGGCTGGGGCCATTAGTAAAAAAATACAACTAGCACATCATCTAGAAGAAAAACCCAAGTGTCAGTATGGATGATAATTTAAGCAGACTGGCAATATTAAATTAAAAAAATCAAGCAGCAGCAGTTATACAAATACACCTCTGTAGTTTTCCAGCAGTAGTTAGTGAGAGAGACAAATTGTCTCTTTTCACTTCATTTCTCAACAGAACTTCAGCAAAAAGCTGAGACCTGTAATGCTTTCTCCCCTAGAGATGACATTTGTCAATGTCCCCTGTAAACTTAACGATGGTTTTTGACACCTAAGTCTCTTTCTCTTTCACATATATGTGTGTATATATATATATGTATGTGTATGAGCGAGAGAGAGGGAGAGGTTATTTCTCATTAACTTCTAATGCCACCTCAGCCATTTTGTTCTATAGGTTAAGGCCTGAAAAATAACAGAAACCATTCAGTCATGAAAAGAACATTTCAAAGAGAGTAAAGTGTTAATTATTTGATGTGTTCATAGTCTTATACATGTGTTGTAAAGTTAAAACTACAAAGGCTCGTGAAAAAGCCGACCAACATTTGGAAAGCCCAATTGCACACTATCCACCAGTAAAACTCCACAAGTGTGAATCTCCAAATACTGAGCCACACACATGCAAGAGAAAAGTAGTTTAAAGTCTACTTTAATTGAGCATTAGCATGTAAAGTATATAAATCAATCGGCAAAGTTTACCTTCTGCCTGTCTGACTGAAAAGTGAGAAGCTGAAACCATCTTTTAATTTTATTCAACTAAAACTATTTGAAATTAACTTTAGATACTCAGCTGTTCCTTTACTAGTTAGCTCCAACTGCTTAATGGAAAAGCAAACCTATTCTACTCTTGTGTATTCACACTGTGCTTACTGTACCTTGAATATGCAGTACAGATCTGTGTCCGGGTTTAACAAAAAGCAGTAAAAATGTGGCAAGAACCCCCAAAATGCAGAGCACATCACTGCATCTGATTTTCAATGAGATTTCTCTCTCTTTGTTTTTTTTTAAATAAATGTGGATACGCCTTCATATTAGGTGTGATAAAAGGATAAAATTAATTGTTCCTACATGGGTTTTATTTAGTTTAGTACTCCTTTTTCATTGTGAGGTTGTTACGTCTTTAGTAAATAAACACCTCTCTTGTGCTCACACCCTGGTTACAGTATTTCAAGACAAAATGAACCAACATCACTTGTTTGTTCACTTCCAAGTCATAAATTCTGCTTTTTCTTTCTTTTTTCCAGCGTACAAAGTGGTCCAGACTGTCTCCTGGGCCTTCAGCTTTGCCTCTGCTGACATGATGCTACAGGCTAACAAGCATTGCAGAAACTGATGAGTTAAAATATTTGTGCTTTCCATTTTTGCCTCATCACTGATGCCATTTTGCATATTTTCATTTGCCAGGAAACCCCTCCTTTGGCTCATTTTCATCTCTGGTTGCTGCACAAGGTTTTCACCACAGGTCTGAAACTTGGGCCTTCTATACCTGTTCGTTTGTCAGATGTGTTAATGTTTAATTTTTCTCTTTTTTTGTTTTTGTTTTACCAATGTATATCTGTCCTTCATGCAACATTATGTTATGATACAGCGTACTTTACAGGGTTGTGGTTAAAGGCAAGGCTATTCCAGGTAGATGTCCTCTGTAGGGCATGAGAACTCCACAAACTCTTTATAGTACAGCTGGAAGGCTTTCCTGAAAAGAAAAACACATCACGTCACATAAACTTAATCACAACATAAACATTTCTAATCGAGAGCCAACAGGTGCAGAACATTACAAAGTGCCAGACATGCCTGAGAAAAGCCTTAAGGTTTTGTTTTTGTCATGATCCTGGGTCTTTTGACCCAGCGTTTTGTGTTTTCTATTATTGTGATTTTGGTGCTGTTCCTCCTCAGTTTAGTGTTTATTCTTTTCTGCCCGTGTATTCGTGTGTCAAGTCCGCGTTTCTTTGTCTGTGTCCTTGCATGTGTAAGTTCCTGTTTTATGGTGAAGGTCTGCGTCTTATGTGACTGCTTTCAGTTTGACTCCCTTGTCTCGTCACGTTAATCACTCCAAGCTGTGTCCCCCACCTGTGTGTAATCTCCCTGTGTTTCTCTGAGTGTATTTAAGTCGTGTCTTCTGTCATAGTAGTTGCTGGTTTGTCTGCGTTTCTCCCGCCGTCATCCTGTGTGGTTTTCCCTATGTTCTCTACGTCTCCTGCATCTTGCTTTCATGTCTCAAGATTTCAGGTTTGTTTTTTGTTGTTTAGGTGTTCTTAGTTTTAAGCTCACCCTTGCCATCTCTGTTTGTATCTACATTGGCTAAATGAACTCACTTGCACCAGAGCTGCCGCATCTTGGGTCCTAAATAATTCACACACGGCTTGCCCCAGCAACCTGTGACAGTTTTCTATTTTTTTATTCCTTTGAATGAGCTCAATTAAGTTTAAATTGATTTCTGCAGTGTATTTATTTCCATTTTGTTTTAGTGATTGTTTAAGATCACTTATCACTTTCAGAATAACAGAAGATTTGCTGAGAAGAGAAAAACTGGCTTATCCTGTCAGGTCAAATTTCTTAAAAGGTAAAATGTTTCCAGTAAATACTGCACCCGTATTGTGAGACTGGTGGGGGTTATGTTGACTTGCCTGTTTTCTTAACCTGCAGTACAGTGCACTTTCGTGGACACACTAAGGATCTGAAGGGCCTAGTATGAATCAAGATTAATGGGTTAGTGTACCTGGCTTAAACACCATAGTAACTTATACAAGTATTATTTACAGCAAGTTTCAGTGCTGTAAAGATTCTCTGCTGGCGGGATGTATTTATATATGCAACTTGTTAAACCGTATCTCACTAAAACCCCCGACTGATGCCCAAAGGAAACCTAAAAAAACACAACTCACCCTACTGACTCTGCAAGAGGTTTGGTAGAATTTTCAGACACAAATACATGGCAGGCAAATCTCTGGTCTGCTGGGTGCTTCGTAATGAAACCAAAATACCTGCAGAGAAGTTTTAAAAAAGACATTCAGTATATTACTTTGACACCTAATAATGATGAACTCCTGCTTTGTTTTATCAGTGAGCAGGAAGAGGTCCAATATTCTTGAATATTTATCTAATAGTGAGACCTTGTGGCAATTAGTCTCGACAGAGAGAGCAGCATAACTGCTCTCTCTGCTTCAGTTTTTACTTACTTGCTGTTTTTTGGGTGATAGCCACAAAAGGAGACGTTCTTTAACTGGAAGAAGTGACTGCACTCGTTACTCTGTCAACAGAGGATGCATAAACGTCTAAGATTAACACCAAGAAGCAAACATTTCAAACCCTGTTTCATATATTTTACTTTTATTGATTTTTCTTTTCTTTTTTTTGCTTGCTGATAAAATTGAAGCTTTTAATTTAGACTAGTTGGCGACTGCAATATTAAAATATATCAAGATTGTGCATCACATTGTATTATCTGAACATCAGATCTTGATAAAAGTAAAACATTAATTTCTCAATTGTTTAAACAGATGAACTTTAAATTGATAATGATCCCATATACATGCATAGAATTCCCACAGAATTCTTAGTTTCTTTTCGCTGAAGTAATTACTGTGGCCTGACACTAACACGTTTGTCTGCAGTATCAGTCGGCAGCCACATGGTGGCGATGTGTCTCATGTGTTCCTTCAACACTGTGCTGATAGATTATAGCTTCTCGCTCTCTTTCTCTGCCTTACTCTTCAAATATACACTCGCCAACCTCTTTATTAGGTAAACCTGTTCAACTACAAAATAATGCAAAAATCTAAATAGCAAATCGCAGTGTAGTAACCCAATGCATTTAGATGTAGACATGGTGTAGACAACATGCTGAGGTAAAACTGAGCATCCCAGTTATTTCTGCCACACAGGCTGGTTTGAGTACTTCTAACAACTAGGAGCCTTTTCTTCTTCAGAAACAAAATATTTTAATTTGAAAGAAAATCTTTATCAGTTAAAAACACATGAACCAAACCATGCATCACTGAAAAAGTGAGATCCTTAACCTTTTCACCTTTCCAAAAGATTGCTGATGCGCTTTTATTTGATTAGTCGGTGAAGTTGCATGTAATTATTTCACAGTAGACATACACAGGATCAGTAAATGTCTTACTCTGTCACAAGCATAGTAATCCTCTTGAACTGAAAGCTTGATGCCCTTCACACTGATCTCCAGGATGCATGAGGAAGGTGGGTTATACTTGACTGTCATCCTTCGGTTAGTAGCAATCTGTAAGACACGTGTTTGTTTTTGAAAATGTTACTAGAATAAAGCTCTTCAAAAGTTTCCTTTACCTGTGCATATGCAAACAAACAAATTGCAAACCTCTGCCAAGGCAGCTCTAGCTCTGGGCAGTATTTACTTTTAAGGGGATAATATTGTATTTTGTATGTATTAACTTTAAAGTGCAATTAAAAAAATTCAATTTGGGGTTAACTTGAAAGTAAAATATAGGCAGTGAGGTCAACTGAAACAAAAGGCACTAGAATTTAAAACAAAGGTAAAAGGCGTTTTTCAAAGGTTTGACCTTAAAAAAAAGAGGTCAGAGTAACGTTATTGTTAGAGATTTTTCTACATTATACAATATAACCAAATCTCTATAATACAATATAATCAAGTAAGCCCTATATTCTAACCAAGTATGTCTTATATTCTGTGTGTTCATATATTTTCACACGGTAAAGCTTATTGTTAAAGAGAACATAATGCATTCCTTAAGTGTTCAAGATGTTTGACAAGTCATGATATACTTTGTATTCCTCACCTCAGTATGTGATGTCAGATAAGCATGATATACTCCTACAGTTATTTTCAGAATATGTGTGCAAGGTTAGATAAGCTGAGATAATGCCTGACCCCTGCTCTGACAGTTGAAAGAGGAAGTACTATGTAACCCATTTTTGCCTTATAAATAAAGCAAGCAGCCTGTACTCGGTGTGTCTGTCTTTCTCAGAGGCAGTCACCCGTGTGCACGTTCATTTCAAACTCTGAGTCGGTCTGCCAGTGTCTCATTTTCTCTCCTACTTGTGTTTGAACAAATGTCAACCCCTGACAGTTATGCAAAACTTATGATCCCTATATGTCATTCCCTATATGCGTATATGTCGTCAATAAGTAAGAGACAGTCTTCTGTTGAACTTAAAGGAGAGGTCAGAGGTCAAATGTGACAAGATAAAAACAACTCCAAGAATAATAGCTACTAAGTTATAAAGGCTTTAATGGATTGTTAACATCACAACTTTTTGAGCTATCAAAGCAAAACAACACAAATGCAACTTAAACCCCTATGGTGTTGAGTTTAGTTCTTTTATGCCTCTGCGTTTATTTGTATCTCTCATCTCTTGTTTTCTTGTCTCTGTCTCATCCCTGTGTCTCCTATGACAGAGACATGTTCTCTGTGTATGTCTCCCAGTCATGTCTGTATTTGGTCTCTGTCCCTCTCTCTCTTTCCCTTCCGTGTCTCTTGCTCCTCTTTCCCCCCACATGTCTCGTCTCCTATACCTTACACATGCGTGTAAAACATGAGCTTACCTTCTGCATAGCTGCACACAAAACATCGTTTCCTTTGTGATAGGGTACTTGAACTGACCCCAGAAACTTTAGGCGGTATCTGTCAATCCATTCATTGCTCTTTACTGCACAGAGAAAAGCAGAAAAAAAAACAACTGACAATAAACACAAAAAGCAAGATGTGTAAAATGTAATACTTCATACAGCACTATATTCCATGCAAGAACCCTGATAGGCTTCCCATCCACAAACACAACTATGCCAGAGGTACTGAATCTAGAAAATCTGATCACTGATGACATTTCTGATGTTCATGGCATGTAAACAGCCCCCCCTTTTTTTTTTTTTTTTTTTAAATTTAAGCCTAAAGCAGCCATCTCTCTCTTTACTAACATATTCGGGGCCCACTCCTACAAATCCCAGCACTATTGGTACCTTTGTAGTTCTCCGTGTCCTTGGTCACCTCTACAGCGTAGTAGGCCGGGAAGACCCCACGAGCACCAGTTCGCATATTGTAGCCCTCATACCAGTAATCCTCTGCCTGGACCTCCACCAACAGCGGGTCATCCACCTCTAGCTCCAACTCATCTTCGTGCCGAGGGACAAACCTGTCGAGAAAGATGTGAGATTTTTATGTGCTAACTGCTCCACAAAGTAGCTCTGAATTTAAAATGAAATTTAAGGTTTAAAAGTCAAACACGGGTTTCCTACGCCTGCTTGTCGTTACAAGGAAATTTTTAAACAGTGTAAAGAAAAAAATAAAATCAGTGACTTAAATGCAACTTATGTGTGTTAGCTGGTCAGGTGTGTTGCTACACAATATTACACACAACCCAGGGTAAAAATGAACTACAATCAGTTCCTTGCTTACAGCTATATATTAGTAACACTGTATTTTTCCATTTGATGTACAGTGTGAGGACACTTTAAAGAAGGCCTGTCAAACTCATTTTACACTGTGGGTCACATGCAGGTCATTTTGATGTTAAGTGGGACAGATCTAAAAACTCCCCTTTCTAAAGACATTTAACCACAAATTTAATCTCCAATACAGTAATATCAGAAAAAGGGGAAAAAAAAAAAAGGAATTTTTGTCATTTTCATGTTTTACATGTTACTTGTTTACTTTGATGTAGTATGAATGGCTATGGGGGAGGTCTGTATTACTATGGAAAGCTGTAAAACCTATGCAAATACAGTTACAAATCCAAAATTTACACCCTCCTTACCCTCTTTCTAAAGCCATCCATTGGGTTGGACTGAAGTCTTTTCTGGGCTGAATCTGGCCCCTGGGCCTTATGTTTGACATACCTTATTTCCGCCACTAAATTTATTTGTATATTTTTTCTTTGCCATCCATAACTCAACATCTTGAGCTATATGTCCAAAATTTTGAGTTAATAAGCTAAAATTTCAAGAAAATAACTCAAGATTTTAAGGTAGCTCAGTCAATCAGGAAGCTCTGTGAAGGTACGTCATTTCCTTGTTACCTGTAAGCAAAAGGTGGAAGGCATTAGCTACCAAAGCTGAAGCTGTAGGTCATGATTGAGTCAACTGCTGAGTTCTTTCAGCATGGTTTCAGAAATGATGAAATCTCTGCGTTATTAGCTAAAAGGCATGCTGTTATTATCAGCACGCAGCAGTTTGTACATGTTTACACTGGTAGCTCATGGATACTATCACTACCCAAGGTTGAGTGTGCCTGTGTCACTGCCATCTGTTTTCAGGTAACAAAGACATGTCAACTTATCAACTAAAAATTTGGATAAAATAACTCAAAATTTCAAGTTATGGATGGCATTTTTTTTCCAGTGGTGAAAACTTCCATATGACAGGAAAAAAACCCAGAAAGCAACTGGTGCAGTTATAGGAAAGTCTCAGTTTTCTTTTCCCAGTTACAATTACGTCATTCTTGGATAATAAAAAAAAAAAAATAGGATCTCCCAGTTTCTTCCAGTTAAATTAATGCAAAACTGAGGTCATACTCTTTGGCCTTCTACTTTTAACTGAGTGCTTGGAAGATGACCCGGGCTCTTTGATACTATTAAATTACAAGTTATATAATTCTAAACTAACCTCATCTTTGACACAAATTAGAAATTTACCAAACAAATAAATGCTGTAGTCAACAATCTGCAGACTAAAATCTTTTCTTAAAAGAACAGGGAGTACAGGGAGTTTTAAGAACCCTTTTTTATTTTTATTGAAGCACTTTGGTTTTAAATGTGCTGTAAAATCTACTTATTTATTTTAATAAGTAAGTAGGTCAGGATGGAAAAATTGCGATGATGGTTTATCATTAAAACACTTAAAAAACACACCTTTCTGTTAAATGCCTGTAGATTGGCTCATTCTTAAAAAAAAAAAAAAAAAAAAAAAATGCTGTTTGACTTATTTGAGTTATCTGAAAGCTGCTGGATGAATTACTCATTTCTACAAAAGATTCATTAGTGAAGATGAACACCAAGCATTTAATACTTCAGGTGATCATCTTTGCTTACACAATCTGGTCTGTTTGACCAAAGACATAAGAGGCTGGATAGGAAAAATAGAATCTCAAATGTTTATAACGGTAACTGACTGGGAGATGAATGCCACACTTTATTGATGATATGAGATAGTGTCATTTGATATTGCCGCAGTGTTATTTCATCAATCCACACAAGTTTTAAACATTATTACAATATCAAACCCTAAGACTTATTTTTTCCCATTTCTTTACTATGGTTTTCACAATTCATTAACATCATAATCAACAGAAGTGACAGCACACACTACATACTGTCATTTTTCAGTTTTACAATGTCTGTTGGGATTACAGCGAGGATGGTAGTGTAACTGTCATTACCTATAGACTGCTCGGTGGCTCTGATCCTTCTCCTCACCATTTATGATACAGGAATATAAACCAAAGGATTCTGCACCTTGAATACCAAAAAAAGGACAAACAAGAGATTTATTTTAAAATAGGAAGTAAACAGTATGCAATGTCAGCCTTTGTGTCAGGCTTGCAAAAAGATTAATGACACAGGCTTATCATTTGTAACAAGTCAAAAAAGACCACAGAGAACATAATTAGGAGATGCAGCATTTACATGTATGCATTCTCTGAGACATAAATCACACTTTAATTAGGCATGAAGCAAACGTGCATTGTGTATTTCTACCTACATTCCCCTGAGACCTTTGTGACTGCTGCCTGAACTGCTCAGAAAAACTGCAGCAGCATTTCTAATGAGACTAAAATACATGGATCCCTTCCAAGAGACCGGCCTGGACTATTAAATACTGTAAACACGCGTATCTCCTAATCTCTGTCTCCATAACATGAATTGCCTCTTGTGCCCATTAATGCTGGCTCTTTAACAGACACTATGATGAGGGTCAATGTGTGGCTGGCAACAGCAATTGAATCAGTCCTGCAGTCCTCAAACAGAGAATTCTCATCTCCCTCTCAGTGCAGCGCTCTTTCTCATTGAGAGATCACAGATAGTCTGTTTAAGCAACATCTCTTAGACAGAGCCTGCAGCTTTAATAAGATATGACAAAGGGATCTTCATTGTCCCCACAAGATTTCTAATTCTTTAGACCCCTTATCATCAAAATAGTCCAAATTTACTCTTAAATCTTACAACTTAGATAAATAAGATTTTTAGGTTTTAATGGAATTCACTAAAAGTTAACTGTGTTAAAACAAAACTTTACAGTCGTTGAGCATTTGCAAAGCACTGATTTATCTGACAAATCATATCTCTGATAAAATAAACCTTGTTGACTAAATATGGTGACACAAGAAATCAATTTTGTCCCGGCTAAATACTCAACCACATAAGTGGGCATTGGGTGCTGTTGGAATACTACTACAAAAGTAGTAGTTAATAGCTAATTAAACAGGTGAGACTTACAATTCAATTAGACTTTCTAAGGCTCTTCTAGGCTATTAATACTCAGTAGAATATCTGAGTAGATATTTTCTGAATTTCACAATCAGTGCATTGTTGTTCTGCTTCCTACTGAAAATGAATGAATCTTCCAGTGGAAGTGACACAAAATTACATCAAGCAATGCGCCTTTAGTCAGTTTGGGAAGTTTTACAGTTTTATGGAAGTGTTATGTCTAGAACTTCAAATGCCTCACTAACTTCTTTCTAGATGTGTTTTCTCACATCCCCTTAACAAGCTGGCTGAGCGCCTTTTCACTAAACAGGTAATTTAAATGTCCAGTCTACTGCTTTTATTCTCGAGACTTAAAAGCAGAAGTGACATAATTTTAAAATTTAAAAAAATACTACTGCTTTGCAAATACAGTACATAGTAAATGTAATAGTCAATGGTTATACTGTGTATCAGTACGGCTTAGTATTGTATTACTCCACAGTTAGGACAGCCATGTGGATGACTGTGTTTAGTGTATGACAAAATTTTGATTCCTGAACATTCCTGTGGCTTTGCTTCATCAGCTGCGCTGCTTTAAGCCTTGAATAGCAATTGTTGCCAGTTTGGCTAGACACCACTGACAGTGTATATTTAAAGGGAATTAGGCAGAGCACCAGCCAGTAGTGCTGATAAACTTCCTGGCATTTACAAGCAAGTCTCAGAAATGTAGTTAATGGATTAAAGGGAAAAATGTAAAAAAAACAAAAACAAAACCCCAAACTGGCATCAGCACTGTCAGACGACCACATTTGCTAACCAAAGTGAGTTTCTTCAAGAAGTCTTTATACTACTACTATTATGCAACAAAGAAACAAACCAAAAGCTAAATGCAAGCCATCGCCACCATTTATGTTTGGAATTGAGTTTTTACCAGACTTACTGGAGGAGCGAGAGCGCCCATTCATGAAGACATTGAGGAACTTCTTGGAGAAGTGGAGGTCCGCCTCTGGAGTAGAATCCTCAGATAGGCACGCTGTGGCCTCTCGACGCACTCCTCCTATACAAGGGTCATGCTCCTCTTCCTCTTCCTCATACTCCTCTCCGATGGCTGACTCGTATGGAGACGAGACACAGTTGTCATAGACAGTGGCCGAGTCGCTGTCATCGCTATAGCCTTGGTAACACTGCCGGAGACTGACTAACTCCAGCTGAGCATTTTCATCCACCACCAATGTATATTTAACTGAGTCATATGTCAGGCCGCTGGCCTCTGAGCTCATGGAAGTCCTCGGTGGGGCGGCTCCCTTTACCCCTCCCTTTCTCATCTTTGCATCCATTATTAACCTGTCCACATCCTCGTCGTCCCCACAGTAGCTTTCATCTGTGGCATCAACGTACTCAACTGATGACCCAGCCCTGAGCATTGCCCTAGCTCCTGTACTTGTCCCCTTTAGGCTGAGGTCCAGTGCATGGGAGGAGTGAGCTGACACAGCCATGCTAGGTGGCGTGATGAGGGACTCTACACAGGAAGCGTATGACGGTGGGGGGACATAGATCTCGTCTTCCTCATAGATGGAGGGGTTGGTCCGGTCCGGGAGGGGCTGATAAGGAGGTGGTCCCTCTGTGTCAGAGCTAATGGACATGCGTCCCTGCTCAGTCTGCTGTGAGAGGAAAGGCCGGTCCTGGACGGTGGGGGGTTCCAGGGGATCTGCGGAACGTTGCACAGGAGTCAGATAGATCTCCTCTGTTGGCTCTATATGAACATCCGTGTGGTATCTAATCCTCTCCCTGTGGGACCCACTGCCATCCGCTTTCCCTGAAGGATATAGAGGAGCTGGTGTATAGTTCTGTGGTGGTGGTGGTGCCGGTGGCTTCTCCTGAATCTTGGACCGTGTCCCAGCCCCTGCAGATGAGCTGTGCGAGTGTCCCGAGGTGTGACTGTGTCTGCAGGGGGCGTCGGTGGAGGTCCCGCGGTCTTTGGTCTGCGCTCCCCCACCGTGCACCTTGTCCTCGTCGCTTAGACAGCTGTGCTCACGTGGAGGGGTGAGGTCACCTAGAGGGAGTGCGGGCGTGAGCAGAAACATGCAGACACCCAAGCAAACACACATGCAGACGCAGATGCACAAGCAAAGCCCAGTCGCGCACACGGAGCAAACATACGTGATGCAGAAACGCAAACATGATGGACAAACAAATGCGCACACATGCACGAAGACAGACATGGCAACGAATGCACAGGCAGATAAAATAAAGCACACACAGAAAGAGAGAAAAGTAGAAATGGTTAGGTAACGGATGTCAGGATTACACAGCCAAATCCCCATTACTCATCAAATTCAGAGTGTAGCCAGGAGAAGGTGATTGACGTGTTATGTCATAATCCATTGGCAGGGGATTCAGACATCATTCCTGAGTATTTTAAATGGCATTTAAATAGCAGAGGGGCTAATTCAGGACAGGACTGATTTCAAATTAAATCTGTTACATTTTCATTTAAATGTTACAGGTGTGCACACAAGAAGCACTGCAAAATTGAAAGAATCCTTTCATTCAGTGGCGGACCTAGCCTGTTTGGCGCCCTGGGCGAACACAGCCTCTGGC